GACGGCATCATCACGACGTTTGCGACCGTGACGTCTGTCGCAGGGTCTGGCCTCCCGCACTCGGTGATCCTCATCCTCGGGCTAGCGCACTTGGTCGCGGATGGCCTGTCCATGGGGATGGGCGATGTCTTGTCCAGCCAAGCCGAGATCGACCTCGTCCACCACGAACGCGCCCGCGAAATGTGGGAATTTGACAACTTTCCTGAAGGTATTTCCGTTCGAGGTCGTGATCGACACTGCCATCGTGGACAGGGGAAATGGACGAAATGGTCGAGCTGTACGAGAAGAAGGGGATTCCGACGCACGACGCCAAGCTGGTCGTCCACACGCTGGCCAAGTACAAGGAAGCATTCGTTGACATTATGATGGTGGAAGAGCTCAACCTGATGCCGGTCGACGAGGACGAGAACCCGCTCATCGGAGGTGCGTGTGTCTGCAGTCGATCCGCGTCAACCTACGTCGTCCTGTGTAGGTCTAGTAACGTTTGGATCGTTCATGTTGTTTGGCGCGGTGCCGCTGCTGTCGTACTTGGTCAACCTCGTGCCAGGCATCCAATTTTCTGGCGAGCAGGCACTGTGGGGATCGTGCGTCCTCACGGCCCTCACGCTCTTTCTCTTGGGCGCTGTCAAGGTGATGACTCTCCATGGGCTGCTTCTGCTGCTGCTGCACGGAGCTGATACTGTTTTGTACAGGGTCAATATGTTGGCCAAAAGTGGTTTGTGTCGGGGTTGTACATGGCGGTGAACGGGACGGTCGCGGCCGGCACGGGATGGATCATCGGCTACCTCCTCCAACTCACCGGCGTCCAGAACGTCGCGCCGGGATAGGAAGGCAGACCCATTTGTTGCATAAACGAATTAATGGCAACGAGTTGTGCGTTCGTGGGACGTCGCCGCACGCAATGGCTCGCAGGAAGGTATCGTCACAACATGAACTGAGAGGTTGCGGCAAGAGCGTGTTCGAAGCGGTGTTGGATATCGACGTGGTGACGGAGGCGTTTTGATCGAGGACGTGTTGCGAGCACCTGGAGAACAACCAGCAACTCGTTGCGTGGTGCGAGAACCTATGCGTTCAACAGCCTTCCGCTCGAGCGTTTGAGGTCAAGATGTCGTGCTCGACATGAAAGTTCGGCGGGGAGAAAGAGAATGTACCAAGCAAACGTCCTATTTCATGGGGCACACAATGCAGGGTGACTTGAGTAGCGAGGTCCCTTCGCAGGCGCTGTGGAGCTGGCCGCGGCAGTCGCTGCGAGGAGTGTGCCGGTCGAAGGAACGCTTCCACGCGGCCGAGTCGACCATCACTCGCAACGAAATTTAAATGATGCACCGAATAATTCCAGATATAAATTACCAGTAAATATTGGATTTGAATAAATTCGGGAATATTATTTTCGCCAGCGACAATGGTCAGATTGGAACGGGGCGAAGATGGCGCAGGGCCGAGTGATCCTGTTCGGCGACTTCACGGCGGAAGAGACGCAAGAAGGTGGTTCGATGCTAACATTACGCGAGTCTCATGCGATATGGCGGTGTGCGCATAGTTCTGGCGACTTCACATATTGCACCGCCGCCTCAACAACCCAAACTCGCCAAGCCGTTTTCGTGGTCTAACCTCGCGAAATCACAGACAGCTAGTGGCCCCTCGCGGCCGCCACCAACGGTGTCTGTGAACACATTGACGACGACGCTAGAAACTGCATTTGAGGAAGCGCTGACCGAACTGAATCTGCACGAGTGCGCAAGGGATCTCCAGCGTCGGTACGGTTGGCATTTCCTTCACCTTCCCATCCTTCCTCCATCGACAGAGGCTTTGTGAATCAAGGCAACACGTGCTTCCAGAACGTCACGTTTCAAGCGCTGTTGGCATGCCCTCCATTTCGAAAGTACGTCGTCCGAGGGACCATCCTGTCGCTAATTCGTCCTGGACCAGCCTCCTTTGCCTCCTGTCTGCCAAAGCTGGCGACATCAACGTCACACGTCAGCCTCTCGTCGGGTGGAAGCACTTGATTCAGCTCATTCGAGAGCTCGACGAGCCGACGCTCGCGCAGCAAATGACCATGAAGCAGCAGCACAAGAAACCGGCAGCTCCTGTCATCTTGTCGCCGCACTTCCTCCGGCTGTTCCAGTCGGCCAACGGCATGCAGCAGGACGCACTCGAATTCCTCGAGTTCCTCCTCGACCATCTACACGTCGACTTTGAGACGAGCCCGTGTTCGTTTCCGCTGCATGCGCCCGCGTCTCCCCACGATGGATGGGCCGAGATCCAGAAACACGGAAAAGCATCCATCGTCCACCACAACATTGTCGAGAACCATTCACCGATCACATTTCTTTTCAAAGGCACGCTGCGGTCCGAGCTCATTCGGGTGCGTCCGTGGCCAGGCGATGTCGCGCTGATGATGGTGCGTGCAGGCGGGGCGCAAAGTCGGCGCCGCCACGATCGAGCCATTCCACTGCCTCCACTTGACCACGCCATCGTTGACCGCGACGCTGTCCCAGATGATCCAAGCCACGATGGCAGACGAGGTACGACCGTTCGGACCAACACCGCTTCGAACACGCACTTCCAGGTCCTCGAGCCATCCACCCTCAAGCGCACGACGTTCGAGACGCTTCCCGTCGTCCTCACGCTCCATGTCAAGCGGTTCACGTACGACGCGGTCCAAGGGCCACTCAAACTCGACACGGTCGTTCAGGTAGCATGCCCATCGTCGCACGGCTAAGATATTCGCAGTACCCCGTCGAGCTCGATCTGCCGCCGTCGCTGTTTTCACCAACGTTGCTGCACGAGACAAAGCGCGCCACGTACAAGCTGTTTTCGGGTGAGTCTGGCGCGATCCGACTGCGCGCTCATGGACAGTAGTGATCTCGCACCATGGCCAGCACGCAGTCGGCGGCCACTACACTGTTGTGTGCTGCGACGCCAAAGACCAGGTACGTTGTTGTTCAGGATGGATGGAATCGCTCACGACGTGGCAGTGGTCGCTCTATGACGACGACGCGGTGCAGTACGTACCCAAGCACGCGGCGCTCGCCGAACGCGCCTACCTCCTCTTTTACCTCCGCGTGACTCCATGACAATAGATGCCTTCTTCTCGAGTGTACGCTTTGTGTGAGTCGCATGCATGCCGTCGGTGCTGCCATGCACTGCTCTTGTGGACGACGATGGGACATGTGGCATGTGAAATGGACAAAGCATGATCGCGTCAGATGGGTGCACGTTACCAATCGAGTCTGGCAAACTGCAGAGGCGGAAGGATCTCGAGCGATGCCGTGCTCCATCCGCAGTAGGAGCCACATGCGCATTCTTGCGAATTGTGCCAGTGAGCTGCACGGACCATGGCCGCAAATGCACGCGTCGTGCTGCTTGCGATGGACGCATTCGACACTCGATTCCTCATCATGGAATATGAAGCCACGCACATGATATTTCGATTCAACTCTTTAACCCAGGGTGACGTTCTGGACGCCGGTGAGTTGGAGGAGGTAGCCGAGGATCCACCCCGTGCCGGCCGCGACCGTCCCGTTCACCGCCATGTACAACCCCGACACAAACCACTTTTGGCCAACATATTGACCCTGTACAAAACAGTATCAGCTCCGAGCAGCAGCAGCCCATGGAGAGTCATCACCTTGACAGCGCCCAAGAGAAAGAGCGTGAGGGCCGTGAGGACGCACGATCCCCACAGTGCCTGCTCGCCAGAAAATTGGATGCCTGGCACGAGGTTGACCAAGTACGACAGCAGCGGCACCGCGCCAAACAACATGAACGATCCAAACGTTACTAGACCTACACAGGACGACGCAGGTGGACGTGAATCGACTGCAGACACACGCACCTCCGATGAGCGGGTTCTCGTCCTCGTCGACCGGCATCAGGTTGAGCTCTTCCACCATCATAATGTCAACGAATGCTTCCTTGTACTTGGCCAGCGTGTGGACGACCAGCTTGGCGTCGTGCGTCGGAATCCCCTTCTTCTCGTACAGCTCGACCATTTCGTCCATTTCCCCTGTCCACGATGGCAGTGTCGATCAAGACCTCGAACGGAAATACCTTCAGGAAAGTTATCAAATTCCCACATTTCGCGGGCGCGTTCGTGGTGGACGAGGTCGATCTCGGCTTGGCTGGACAAGACATCGCCCATCCCCATGGACAGGCCATCCGCGACCAAGTGCGCTAGCCCGAGGATGAGGATCACCGAGTGCGGGAGGCCAGACCCTGCGAC